TTTGGGTTAAGCAATGTTTGAAATGTGGATTTATTCGAAATAAGTATTACAAGAGTACAAAGGGCAATAAATGATATCTAAATTAGTATAGAGCTAGATTTCTGTTGCGGTCAATATTGGTTTTTAAATAATTCCCCCACTCGCTAACGAAGTTGCGGGCATATGCTAGTAAGCAATAAGACATTGTCTTCGTGTGATACGTAGGTAGGGTAGAGAATTTGGAGAATTTTCGATTTCACTTACTGCGTTTTTGACAATCGGCTTATAATTCAGAGGAGACTTTCTTTAGTCTTTCAGACCGGCGAATTTCTGTGTCTACGTTAATAATAGGTTGATCTATAGTGGCATCCTCTACATCCTCATCAGCGGACTCAAAATCCAAATCATAATCTTCTGTGTAGCTTTTCTTACAGTTTGAAAATTGCAATGGAATAATTGTTCTGTTAGATTATCCATCTTTGCTGCATATCAAATTCTTAACATTTCACACCTTTACTTATAATACAAATTTGACCCTTTTAAGGGAGGTACTACAAGAACTAAACTGATAAGTACCACATTAAAACATTATATAAGTTTGATAAATGCATTAGGATGTGCAATGCTTGGTTTAAATCGAATGCTCAGTTCGCATGAAATTAGAAAATTAATTTTTAATTTTTGTGTGGGAGGTACCAGAAAGAGTGGGCCTCATTTTCAATCTTGATTGAATTTTGTAAGAAATATTACGGTGTGCAAAGTTTGGTTAAAATCGGACATTCCACAACATTGTGATTGAAATAACAAAGTTTCAAAATCTTTACCTTTTTGGGGAAGGAATAGAAGGTGTGGACAGATAAGTCCCATCTCTCAACAATATACAGGTATGGTTAAAATTTTGATCATTTTGTGGGGGTGGTGCCAGAAAAAGTAGACCGACCTTCCAAATCTTCGAACTTAATTTGAGTTTGAAAGAAATGTTACGCTAATAAAAATCTCTCGCTTATATTTATGCAGCAGTCCTATTTTTAAGAACAATGCCCTCTATTTCAGATTGTTATTTATTAACTTTAAATCCTAACTTATAGATAATTCTGAATCTCTAATCACACCTTAAAATCCAATCACTTTCATTTCAGCAAAGTTCGTGAATATAATGAATTTTTAAAATCCCCCTATCTGCGCACCGCTAAACCTATTGACTCACGTTTTGGTGATATTGTTACACTGGCACAGGGACGCCTAGAATCGTTGGCGAATGGTACCTATCGATTTGTTGAGGGCAACTGTGATTATGTGTGTGCTCGAGAAAATAAAATGGTGGCAACATGGCATGTTCAAAAGATACGACATCGTGACGTAGATCGTAAATTTCATTATGAAATTAAATATAGTGTTAGTCCAATGACGGCGACAACACCAAGTGAAACAGTGGTGCGTGGTGGACCGAATAAGAGGACAGCTATCGATAATAGTGGACAGCAGGGACAGAAAACGTCGAATAATATACAAACATTTATACAAAAAGAAGATGATTATCCGCATAGTTTTAATAAATTGAAATCACTGGGTCAGGCGAATGTAGATGATGAGGATTTTGTGGAACGTCGTTATGATGGTTCGAGAAATATACGACAATTTAATCCTGGTCCAAGTCAACACCATCAACATCAGCAGCAACATTCGCAAATTACTCCCATGCCCCAATCAACATTTCTAAGGGGTATTTATAGGCCACCACCTCCGACTGGACATCATCAGCAACAGGTCCATCCTCATTTGAGTAATGTAGGGCCACCATTGCCAGATCAATTGAATATTGGTGAATATTACAAGGGAAGTTATGGGCCCAAGGCTTCACCCAAAATTGAGTTATTTCCCAATTTACTGACAATGATGTTTGGCAAGCCTAATCTCTATCCCAAATATCCAACAACATTCCGACCCCACATAAATGGTATTGTGGAACAACAAATACATTTTCCACGTCCGGAAGTCTATACAGCTCCCGGTGTGATAGCGGCACCACAAAATATACCCCAACAACATCATCATCCTCAGGAATTTATACCAGCAGGTGGTCACCACTTCATCCACGGCCAGGAATATACCAAGATCCCCGAATATTATCAATCCCATGAACATGTCACTTCATCTAAGGAAGTATTGAGTCCGGTAATAACCCATCATTACCATCATCATTTTTTTATGACGAATTCAAGTGATAGTGGTGAACATAATGCGGCGGGTAATCGTGTTGGTGGGGGCGGTGGTGGAAGAGATGTGGAACAGAATATCCATTCAGCCGATGTGTACAAGTCAAATGTTCAAGTTGTAACACCTGAGCCGCAACCGCAAGTTCAGGTGACCCCAGCATATGAAGAACACAAGCCTCATATTGTTTTGGCGCAACAAATTTTGCAGCAACAATATCAAGTACAACAGCAACAACAACAAAACCATCAACAACATCAGGAGCAACAGTTGCAACATCATCAACAACACTTTACAAATACCCCACCTGCACCACAAAAATTTGTATTTCCGATTGGCGAAATAGAACAACATCGTGTGGTTCATGTAACTCCCGTTCCGCCCCTGCGTAAACCACAATATCAACAACGACAACAACAACATTATTACCACCAGCAGCCACAGCAGCATCAACCATATGTCCAACAACAGCAATATACAACCGTTCATGCCCCCATAGCAATTTATCCGGCTGCCGTGGAAGAAGATAAAATCGATATTCCCACACCCCACAGTAAACCTTTTATACAGAGTCAACCTATGGAGGAGGAGCCCATACGTTATTCCGAACCCGATCCCTTATACGCCAATGTAGATGACAATCAAGAAGACCAGGTAACTTATGTACCGGTGCCGGAAGAAGAATCTCAAGAACCACAATTGGAAGAACCGCAACATGTAAGTCTGAAAGAGAATTTAAATTAATATTTCTATTTAAATTCAAATAAAAATTCTTATTCCAGTATGAAGTTCCTTCTCAACATTCTTTCCAAGATGCGGAAAGACCAGATGATACCTCCAAACAACATTCAGAATCGATAGAAGCTCAAGTTCCGGCACCACAACAAAATTATAATTTGCAAAACTCCTATGAGACCAGTCGACATGATGAGCAGGGTAACTTCGATGCTGACATTAACGACGAACATGAAACAACTACAGCTGCTGAGGTCCCAAAACGTTTAGAACAAAGTACCAGTCAACCGTCAACAACAACAACCGTTAAAATTTCCACAACCGATAATCACATTGAAAGTGAATCTGAAGCCAATAAAGCAACTTTGGCAGCAACACCAAAATCCAAACCCATATCGGTGCGGGGCAAAAGGGTAAGGGTAAAAGTAACCAAACTTACATCCAGTACAACTGCCAAACCGAAACTATTTTCCACACGAGTGACCACGGAAAAGGAATTACAAACCACTACTTCGGCCTCAACAACAATGAGCAGCAGCAGCACAACAAACTTATTGAAGGAACAAAAACAATTTGTTTCCACCTCCACCACAGAAACTCCTTTGAAATCCCTCAGTCGTTATCGTAATACCAATAAACGTTTAACTTTCAGTACCACCACAACTGAGAAACCAGTATTAAAATGGAAGCCAAGACGTAAAGAAGCCACCGGCAAGGCATTGAGTCTAAAAAATATTGGAAGACATAACCCCACCTCCTCGTTTGCCCAACAACAAGCCACCATACGTGAAATAACCAAGGTGGACAACAACAACAATCCACAATCGGTGTCCACCACCACAACGGAAAAACAACCTGACAACACTTTGGATAATGTTGCAATGTTAGAGGAGTCCAGCACTAGTAGCACTACAATGTCTTCATTGTTGGTAGATGCCACATTGCCGCCGGCCACAACAAGTGTCTCTGAAACCTATGAGGTATTGACTCAGAAATCGATTAGCTATAAAGTTGGTGAAAATGGTGAAGAAATACCATTGGATATTAACGATGCTGATAATGAAGTAAAATCTTTGTAAGAAGGAAAAATAGAAAAGAATTTAAATCCGAAATGGTTAGCTTTTTGGAAAATAAAAAAGTATTGTGTAAATATTAAGTTTTTATAGACATCGAAAGTTCTTAAAACAGGCTTGTGAATTTTAAGAACAACGAACTTTGATATACATATATTGATAATTATTTATTAAATAAATATTTTATGAACTAAATAATTTTTATAATTTGTGTAACATTAAAATATTAGAAAATTATCTGAATTATGTCAAGGACAATATCAGATTTTGCATAGCCCCACACACATTTGTGAGAATGCGTCTGGCAATTGTGTTGGTGGGGTGGCGTTGAGGAACAGAATATCCATGTAGGGTATGTTTTCATGTCAAATATTCAAGCGGTAACTTCCCAGCCGGAACAGCAAGTTCGGGTGACCCAACGTATGAAGAACACACATCTCGCATTATTTTAGACCAACACATTGAGGACGAACACGATTCTTAACAATATCCATATTAAGCGAATGGAATGTCCGATTATACACAAACTTTCCACATCGTAAAATTTTTATCAAAATCAAGTCTAAAAATGAGACCCATTGGTACACGCCTTCTACTACCTCCACCACAATGTATTTTGAAAATTTAATTCAATATCAAACGAATGGAATGTCCCATTGGATCCAAACTTTGCAAATCGTATTACGTTTACCAAACCTAGATCGTGTCCGAAAATGGGACCCTAAAATCTGTGTATGGTAATTCCGTAGATCTCCGCATAGACATCTGTCGGCAATACCGACTGGTTTTTTTAATTTCACCATGTCGTATACATATTTAGCAGATTTCTTTAAGATTTGCTACATCATTATATACTTTGCGTTCAGGTGAATGTCTCTAAATAATTTTTGTTTTTTATATTGTCAATACATTTTAGTTCGGTTGGGCTGTAATAACTATTTCAAATTTGTTGTCGTTTTTGCATTTTAATAAACTTATTTATAATTCGCTTTGACTTACCAGCTTCTTCAGATGCATATTTGTAATTTGGTGCTGGTTGAACGGGTAATAATTTACCATATGTTTCAGGCATCATTTCGACAATACGTTGATGATATGACAATCTATATAAAACACACACAAAATATATATGTACAAACATAAATATTTTCTCAAAATAATAATTACAACTGTAAATTTATATTTACCTCAAACACTTCTGCAAAACCTCCTGTATAAATTTGGGACGTGGATGCTCCATATCCAATAGCAAACAACTATCCCATTCTTCCCATGACCATGTAAATTTGAAATTACTCAAATGATATGAGAACCAATTAACGAAACGATCAAAACATGATGTGTTCATCGAATCGATACGCATAAACAAAATTTCCGTAGCTTGAGCCAACACCTGGGGCAAGGTGGCCGGGTGTAATTTACACAATTCAATGAGAATTGAACCGTAGACAATATCCAAATAACGTGGTGTCGGCATATGGAATAGTTCAGCGAATATAACTTCTACAATACAATATTCGAGGGGTACTTTATTTTTATAGGGGAATGCCAATAGCTGGGCAGCACAATCTTTTCGCTCTTTATGATGCATTTCAATGATGTGATGCAAATGTTCTTCGATTAGGAAACGTTCAATCGAATGGGCACCGGGTAAATTGGGACCATCGGGACAATCTGTGTAATCGAACATACGATAGACAACCCATGGCATGGGATATTCATATGATTCGTGATGTGGTGGTGGTACAATCTGCGGCAAGTTGTGTTGCAGAGCTTCACACAATATGGAATCGAATGACAAGTAGGGACGTTGAATGTGTTTCTCGGCCCAATTGTCTTGACGTAATTTGCGAATTTGGGCCCACAAACAATCCAAATATTCTTCCTGGGGATGTGGTGCATCCACAGACCAAACACGCAAGGCGTTATGATGTTTCTTCGACCGTTTGTTAAGATACACTTCAATGCGTAGCAACAACGACTCCAATGAAGACTCCTTCTTTTCGTATAAATCACGACCAACCCATGGCAGGGTGGAGAGGACAGCAAACACATACCAATCACGTCGTACTTGTGGTACTGTATCCTCATTGGATACATCAATCATGGTATCCAACAATTGCAAAAGCGACGAAGCCGAAATGACATGACAATTCACCAAATCGGCCAAAAAGCGCAGCGAGTAACGTGCACTATTCCATTTGCACTGTTTCAGTGACTCCTTGAATATCTTGACCATGTGATCGACAAATTCACCGCCAAACTTGTAATTTTTGGCATTCAATAGACCCACCAGTGTCGTGTAGATGGTACACTTCTCAGGCATTTTTACGGCACAATCGGAGAGAATACGCAAGATTTTCAAACGGAAGGTGCCCAAATCTGCTTCCAATACCGAAACAAGGCCCTCCAAATTTGATTCAACCGAGGATGTGCTACGTTCGCCAACACGCAAAATCAGTGATTCCAAACGATCTTCAATTTCTTGATTCTCGGAAACACGGCGACGTTTACGATTGCGATGCTCTAAAATTGGAACAAATTGATAAAGATCAACGTTTTGGAAATTTGCATGTTCTTCAAATAGGCTGCCGGGTGGCACACTTGCTGTGTGGTGCCACCACTCTCATATTTCAACTTCTAACTAACTTACCATATCCATCTTCGTCTCCATCATGATGCCGTCTGCGATTCATGTTAATTCCTTCCTGTAGCTCTGAAGATCGTGGAAAATCCTGAAATCTTTATTTATTTTTATATCTGAAACTAGACCGTATTAAACGCTTTCAAGCTAATTCTTTTTCCCAACACGAACGAAAATGCTTTTGTTTCGACCTTAGGGGTATCTAGGTCGATATTTGACTAATCGATTTTAAATAACAGATAATCGTTTTATCGAAATTTGTGGCTGTCGTTGCCAACATAATATAATTTATTTTAAATTATTGATATTTAAAAAAATATATATTTTCAATATTTTTAGAGTTGGCGTGGGACTGTTTGAAGTAAATCGTAGTTGTAAGAAATATTAAAGTGTGGATTTTTTCATATGACTTATAAAATGTCAAAGCTTTTAAAAAGTTATGTTTATAAAATATCAAAGCATTGACTTCATTTAATATATTTCATTAGAAAATCTTTTTTTTTTCATAACAACTCAAAATTTATATTTAATTAATTAATTTTATTAAAAACACATTCTTTACGAATTATTTATGTAATACTTTTTAAAACGGCAATGCGTGAATTAAAAAAATGTTATATCCAAGAATAATCAAAGAGCTCCTTTTTAATATTAAAGCATGGATTTTTTTAATAAATATCAAACCTATTTTTAAAGCGTGGATTTAAATTTTAAATATTTTTCAGGAAATATCAAAGAGTAGATTTCTACAAATATTTATTTATGACATACCAAAGCGTTGATATATAAAAATATCTTTAACAATTAAAAAAATTCAATCATGCCTTTCTAACAAATATCAAAGCCTGTGATCTGTGTCAACATTTTTCAAATAATATTAAAATATGGATTGACAACAAATATTTCTTCAAGAAATATCAGGTCGTTGATGTATATATTTGTTTTTCAAGTGTGCATTTTTAACAAATAGTTTTATTTCCAAAATATTAATATGTGATTTTCTAAAAATTTTTATTAAAAATATTGTTGTAGTCAATATAATTCTGCAAGAAATTTAAAAAGTTTGTCAGGAGATTTTATGGATTTTATATTTAAATTTTGTTTTTTTTTTCTTTTTGGGAATATTCTAGTATGAATGTAAAAATTACGTTTCTTCCAAATATTGTCATCTATTTTTTTTATAAATATTTTTTTTCAAAAAATTTCTAGTCTTGGATTTTTTAATCTTTTTTAAGAAATCAAACATTTTTTAATAAATATGAAAATTTGGTTTTTATTCTAATTTTTTTGATATAAAATATTTTTGTTATTTAATATTTTTGTTATGTTTTATGATTTGATTTTACATATATTTTATATATCTTTTGTTATTAAACGTGTTTTACTCTTTATTTGACATTTATTTTCATATGAATATATTTGTAAATATTTTTTTAATTATCAAACCGTGTATTTTTAAATATATTTTATTTTTATAAAAGATCAAGCCTGGATTTCTTAAAAGTATTTTTTTTTTCAAGAAATATCAAGTCGTGAATTTATAATTTTTTTAACAAAATTAAGGATTCCTTTTATTCAAAATATTTTTTCTAAAAGTACCCTTGGATTTTTTAATATTATTTTTAAAACTATCGAAACTTCGATTTAATAATATTTGTTATATACTTTATTATTATTTACTAAAAATATATTTTTCAAGACACGTCAAGTCGTGAATTTATTATTTTTTTAATAAAGGCTTGGGTTTAATAAAAAAATTTTATTTTAAACTACTAAAACTTTTTAAAACTTAAAATTAAATGGATCTATCAAACAAAATTTTTCAAGAATTTTTTTTTAAGAAAAATTTGTATACCCTTCACCACACTGTGGTACAGGGTATTATTTATTTGTGCATATGTTTGTAACAGGAATCGAGATAGAAAAATGGTTCCTTTTGAGAATATACATATGCATTTCCGTCTGTCTGTCCGTCCGTCCGTAAGTCTGTCCGTCCATGTGTTTTTGTGAACAAAGTACAGGTCGCATTTATGATCCCATTTGGATGAAATTTGACACATGTAACTTATTTGGCCTAAGGACGAACCCTATTGAAATTAGAGGAAATCGGTTCAGATTTTGATATATATATTGTCGTCCGATTTTATGTAAATGAAAATTTGCACAGAGTTCTTAATTAGGTCTAGACCGATGTATACGAAGTTTTGGTGGAATCGGTTCAGATTTTGTTATAACTCCCATATATTGTTTCGTCTGATTTTATTTAAATGGAGCACCAAAGAGTCAAATTTAGGCCGAATGGCATACATTTTGCACAGCGAACCTCCCATATACAATTTCCTCCGATTTTATGTAAATGGTGCACCATACAATCAATGTTTGTCCGATTGAGACAACATTTTGCATAGCGTATTGAAGTTACTACAGCTTGACATCCGTATTGAAATTACTGCAGGTTGACGTCCGTGAAGTGTTGTTGAAATCGGTTCAGATTTAGATATAGCTCCCATACATATGTTCGTTCGATTTTATTTAAATGGAGCATCATACTGCCAATATTTGTGCGATTGAGACAATTTTGCACAGTGTATTGAATTAGGTCTGGATTAATGTATGCGAAGTTTTGTTGGAATCGGTTCAGATTTAGATATAGCTCCCATATATTGTCGTCCGATTTTATGTAAATGGATCACCAAACAGTCAATGTTTTCCGATTCAGACAAAATTTTGCATACCGTATTGAAGTTACTACAAGTTGACATCCGGGAAGTTTTATTGAAATAGGTTCAGATTTAGATATAGTCCCCATATATATTCGGTTCGTCCGGTTGTATGTAAACGGCGCACCGAGGACCCTCCGTTTGTTCTATATTAACCCAATTTATCAGAGGGTATGGAATTTAGTCTAGAATGCTTTTTGTTAAGTTTGAAATCGGTTCAGATTTAATTATAGCTCACATACATAATTTAGTCTCATTTTATGTAAATGATGCCCCAAGGTTCCTGTTCTATTTGCACAATATTTTGTTGTTGAAATCGGTTCACATGTAGATATAGCTCCCTTTATATTTTTCTCTGATTTTATGCAAATGGTGCAAATGGAGGAGCCTATGTCTGTTCGCTTTACATGAAGTATTGCAAAGCGTATTGAATTCAAGACGGTAAAGGTATAAATATAGCTTCCAAATATATTTTCATCCAATTTCATCAAAATTATGGTTTTTATTTGTTTTTAAGAAAAATCAATCAATATAAAGTCGTGAATTTTTCAATTTTTTAAAAAGTCTTGGATTTTTAATACTTTTATGAAATATTAAGGTGTGGGTTTATTAATTTTTGTTTAAGAAATATGAAGTTGTGATTTTTTAATTTTTTAAGAAATGTGAAATATGAATTTATAAAAAAATATTTTTTCTTAAAGCTTCCAAACCCAATTTTTTGTTTCTATAAAAAACAGCTATTTATTAGTGGGGAATGTATGGCATTGTTCGCCGAGGGGTAAGGCAGGGAAGACTATAGTTTCGGATCAAGCCACTGATCCTCATGAGTTCCCTTACCCCTCGGCGAACAATGCCATACATTACCCACTAATAAATAGTTGTTTTTTATAAAAACAACAAACTGGGATGTAGCCTGACTATTTTGCAAAAACAAAATATTTTTTTAAATAAAAATTAAAAATACACGCTTTTTTATTGAAATTTTTTGAAGAAGAATTTTTATAACCATATTACATTTATTAGTACAGAACATTCATTTATTAATTAGTACAGAAGTAGGTGTTCAGTAAATAATAGTTAGAGATGGGCAGTGGGTAAATACCCAAAGGGTAAATACCCATTTGTTTGTATTTATTTGGGTATTTACTATATTGAATCGGTAATACAACATCTTACACCCTATTTCCGGATTTCTGTTATCAAATCGATTTAGAATGGATACTTTTACGATACTTTAAAGACGGGTATTTACCCAAAAATTGGGTATAAACTCAATAACTGCCGAACCACCTGACATAGGCGGCCAAAATTTTGCACACATGTTTCTAATGTCAAAGCAAATATAGAAATCCAACATTTTAAGGCTAAATTGGCTGTAATTTGGCACAGAGTGTTCTTTTTGGGTACCAAATACCATGCAAAATTTTATGTATGTAGGTCCACGTTTACTGGTAGCCCCCATACAAAGGTACCCCTATTTAGTGTATTTACCCAAAAATTGGGAATAAACTCATTAATTGCCGAACAACTTGACATAGGCGGCCAAAATTTTGCACACATGTTTCTAATGTCAAAGCAAATATAGAAATCCGACATGGGGTCCCTGGGTCCAAGTTTTGATATAGCCCCATATAACCATATTTCCCGATTTAAGGTATTTTTTGTCTATTAGACACATTTTACAACCAAAGTGGCTGTAATTTGGCACAGAGTGTTCTTTTTGGGTATCAAATGACCATGCAAAATTTTATGTATGTAGGTCCACGTTTACTGGTAGCCCCCATACAAAGGTACCCCTATTTTGAGTATTTACCCAAAAATTGGGTATAAACTCATTAACTGCCGAACCACTTGACATAGGCGGCCAAAATTTTGCACACATGTTTCTAATGTCAAAGCAAATATAGAAATCCGACATGGGGCCCCTGGATCCAAGTTCTGATATAGCCCCCATATAACCGTATTTCCCGATTTTGGCCGCCTATGTCAAGTGGTTCGGCAGTTAATGAGTTTATACCCAATTTTTGGGTAAAAACTCGGGTATTTACACAAGATTTTACCCACGTCTTTAAAGTATCGTAAAAGTCTCGATTTGATAACAGAAACCCGGAAATAGGGTGTAAGATGTTGTATTAACGAGTCAATATAGTAAATACCCAAATAAATACCCGCAAATGGATATTTACCCACCCCTTGGGTATTTACCCGGTAAATACCTGGTAAATACCCGGTAAATACCATCTCTAATAATGGTCTATGAATTGAAGACCTTCTATGGATAAAAAACTTACTACACAGGATTTTTTTTACAAAAATGTAAAAATTCCAGAAAT